TCCGCTCTGCCCTCGTCGAGTTTCTTGTCACGTTTATCCCTCCTCTCTCTCTCTCTTTCCCCTTTCGGCTCCTTGCCGCTCGCCTACGGGGTCGTCGCCGAACGTCGACCCGAGTCTACGCGCCTAGTCGCCGCGACAGTCAGTGCCGTACTGTGTGAGACCCCTCTGTCCACACCGTCGCCCGCCCTCTGCCTTGTATATTCCCTCTCTCTCCCTCTCCTCCTACGTCCTCAGTCTTACGCTATGCTCGACTTGGCGCCGATCGCTGAGCCTCGGGCCGTCGCACCTAGTCTCCGCGACACAGATGGTTTTGAGGTCATAGAAAGCATCTCTACACCAGTCAGAAATCATAGACCCACTCTATCCACTACTATCAACGTCTACTGTAGCACTATTTCCATCTACTATAGTGCTACTTTGCACGAATTTGCATTAATAGTGCAAAATAGTGCAATTATTTTTGGGGACCTCTCGATTTTGCACTATTTTTCACTATCCAACTACTGTGTCTATTAAGAGCTAATTTGTACTAAATAGGTGTAATTCGCAAAGGTGGTTTTTACAGATGAAGTCTTTGATTCGTGGAGATGTTGCCGACAAACTCTGCGACAAGGTTGCTGATGCCTATGGCTTCCGGCGCAACGTATCCGCAGCAGCAGAGCGGCATAATGCTCAGCTTGTTGAAGGGCTTGTCAAAGATGGGGTGTTCCATTATAAGGTGCGTTCCCTCTTCACAGTGTCCGCAACACTATCCATAACAGCAGACTCTTCTCTTCGTAACTACAGGTCTTGAATATCGCCACTGGGAGCAAGGAGAAATACAGCGAGCACCCCTTGATAACACGAGCCCTGGAAATAGCATTTTTCGGGAACACGCGCAGCGGTGCCGTTTTTTGCGCCCGGAACTCTTCAATCCGATTCCTGACCAAGCTCTTGCATTTATCCATACTATTGTAAGCCGTTAGCTCACTTGTACCATCGGAATTGCATCTAATGCTCGGGCGGCCACACAATACGCATTTAGATCCATGCCCACATCTGTCAGTGGTCTACTGGTCGACACGTCCGAGAAGACTTTTCGGAGAGCAAGAACTTGACGTTTTACGTCGGATTCCTTGCAGATCTCCGTGCCTATGGCAGCAAGAATCCATCAGCTTGGTTGAACATCCACAAGCGTATGTACTCAAGAGCATTGTAAGTGCACCTTATAAGTAATCAATGTGCGCTCTGATCGCTGACAGTTGGTTCTGTATATCTCAAGCCGTGACGGTGGTGGGGCGACGCTTCAGGTGCAAGTTGCTCACATATCCATGGCCGCAATGGATGCTGCAACTGCAGAACTTGAGGGAAGGACGGGACTTACTGATAGTGAGGACGAGGGCGAGGCTGGCCCAACTGCATAGCGGGCTTGTTGACCAACACTATGAATTTCTTGAGCGTCGTGTTATACTCAATGTACATGCTGTTATGTCTGTATATTCAATTCACGTGCATACACCCCTATTTGTATACAGAACTGGTACAGGAGGAGGTATCGTGATAGAGCTTTCTTTACTCGACCTCTCCTCTCAAGTGCTCGCCGTTGGCTCGGTGAGGACTCGGCGAGTGCTCGCGAGCGCCGAGGCGCATCTCGGAAGCCCTCTCAAGCGCCGGGGGTGGCTCGCTACTACTCCTGTATGGGGGGGTTGTCTCAGCCGGCTCGGGCTACTCATGAGACTCGAGAGCATTCCCGAGACAAGTCTGTTTTTCCTGATGAAGGTGGAGGGAATCTGTAGACCAGCAATTCTGATAAAAGTAGAGAAGCGGCAAGCTCGCAGTAGGGCCATGGTCGCTCGTAAGACGTGCTAAGAGAAACCTCAATTAAATTTTGACATATAACCTATTTTAAGAGGGCTTATCCGAGCTCGGGCTGAGGGAATCGAGTGCAGAGAATCGCGATTCGAGTGGGCGGTGCTCCTCCAGACTCGCACCGGCGATTCGACGCGATTCTGCCAGAATCGCGGATTCCTCCCCTCTCGAATCGTCTCCCGAATCGTTCCCTCGAATCGTCCACCGAACCGCCATCTTTGACTACCCCTAATCCCAGATGCACTCGCTGGGAAGCATGCTGCATGGCGGACCTGTGCGCCCGGGACACCGGCCCGTGTCCCCGTGCTAGGTCCGATGGGCAACTCGAGACACCGCGCGTCTCCGCACACCACCAAGCCCAAGCCGTAGGGCTCGGCTCCGGGCAGTCCTCCAAGCATGGCAACACAAAAACTCTGCGGATCCTCGAGTGAGTATGTTAAACCCGTCTTCTATATATGCTGAAATGCTGACGTGGAGGGCTTTGGTTATAGTAGCACTGCTAGTGCCTGTTTGCGAACGACTCGGGACCCCGTTATTAGCTCGTTCTCTGAATGGCCCTCGCGACCACCCTCCCCAACGTCAGCAGTCCACTATCGACGGTACCTCTAGCCACGCATCTAAGGCTATTGATCTCCCATCGCTCTTCCCCGTGACTCCCCAACTTCTCTCGATGGACGTTATGCCTTCCTCATCCGCCTTCCTCCTGTCCCGACCCCCTTTCGTGCACTTAGTCCCTGTATTAGACAAATAGGCTGAGCGCGAACGTCTTCTCACTGCTCCTGGATGTATGTCGGTGCTGGATCTCGCTCAGCACAGTACGAGCGACGAAGGCGGAGAAGAGGGCGAGCCTGCGTTCCCTGAAGCTTTCACCAAGGACAGCGGATCAAATGACGCGCGATCGGCTGCTAGCCAAACGCGGGATATAGTTCATTGCGGACGTGAGTACCCGACTCTGCGTGTATGACCATGACTCTCTTCGCATCAGTATGATTTGGAGACACCCTGCGTTGGTGGCATTTCCCTGTTTAGGCTGCAATGCGTGCATGGAATCCACGTCTTTGACCAGGCCCCCTCGCGATCAGTTTCCTCGCTGTACCCGTTCTAAGACACGTCAGTCGAACACCTCGTGCGCTCTTACCCAAGCGGCCGGTAAGTATTCTTTCTCCACCCACCAGCACAGCTTGGTGTCTTCGATATTCAGACATGCCTATGCAATCTATATGTCACACATGGAGCGAGCAAGCACAAGACCCGGCCAACGCCATGCGCGTTGAGCAGCCACTCGACACACGCCTCCCCCAATTGCGCGACTGCTAGACGCTCAGGTCGAAACGTGGACCGCCAGAGGCAAAACAACACAACCAAGGCCGAACTCGTAGCGGGATCGCGCATCACAAAGCAACGCTGTGATTGCTTGCTGCGCTGCCCAGGAACAGGCTAGCCGTGCCCGACACAGCACGCGCGATGGGGGATCAGACAGACATCTGACGTGGTCAGCTCGATGGCGTTGTCGGACGTTGCAGATTCTTCGAGCCATCTCTGGACCCAGGGATCGAAGAATCTGTCGGGGGCCGTCGACAGTGCCATGCGTGCGCTGAGGGCTCAGCCCAGCGTACTGAACTGCAGCCTCGGGCCCGTTGTCCGTCCGCCGGAAACCTCCTTCCTTCCGTCTTGGCTGATGACTGTGATTCTCTAGCTGGACTGCAGGATATTGCGCTTCGCGTCCTGATGATGGAAGGCGAACCAAACATATCGGGTGCGGTATGACCACTGGGGACACGCTAGGTTGTCGACGCCGAACCACCAATGTCGCGGGTCCCTCCGCTTCGGAACTGGAGAGTGACACATAAATGTCAGTCCGATGTATCTCTATACCTGCGCTTTGAGCATTGCTAGCTTACGCGAGTCTGGGGAGGACCTGTAAACCATAGCTGAGATTGTGCATGCTTTCCGTGCATATCCGTAGGGAACCCTTGCTTCTCATTTGTCTCCTAAATTGATATGTAATATCCCCGTGGAATCGATGGCTATCTGACTAGCGAGGGATAATGTATGATTTGGCAGTATGTGTACGGGAGTGACAGTCGTGTGGAACACTACACAAGGCTATATAGAGTATCGTAAGCGGACTCGTGACTGTACTGGCCGTAGATACATATACACTCTGATGTAGACATGCGAGGTATAAGGCGGAACGGGGGTCATCGGTCTACCGTATACTTCTCTGTCGCTCACGAGAGGTTTGACGTCTTCATCACGGCTGATGGAAACAGAATTGACGTCGTCTACCTCCGGCTCCATGTCAACCTGTTGCGGGCATAAGTCTTCGGCGAGCAGCTGCAATGCGTCCAGATCATCCGGGTCATCGTAGAGACCAAGGGAACGGGCATGCTGAAAGGGAACCTCAAGGCTGAGCCTCCGAGGTATTGAGCTGGGCGCGCTCATCAGATATCGTCGCCTGGCGCATTGGCGCATCGTCTCCTCCATCGAGCAGAAGGTCTGCGCTATGCGGAAAGTTCTATACGAATAGTATCCGTCAAAAACGAAGCCACTGCGACGCATATATGCACTGACGCTTACCTTTGTCAGGTCTTGCAGGTCCTCGACGCCAAGTGGGCCGGTTGGGCCATCGATGAGATAGTCGATATCCGCTGGCACGAGGTCATCAAAAGGCGTTGTCGATGACTCCAGGGCTTCGTCCCTGAGAAGGGTGTTTAGGGGAGACGTGGTTCGGACGCGCTTCGTTGGTATGCTGGCGGGGACGCTAGAAGGGATAGAAACGGCGCCTGACCGCGTGGGCGGACGACCACGACTGCCTCGTAACAAATTCGATGTGGCACCGCGGCCGCCTCGTAGCGTGTCACGGCGGGCGCGAGATCCAGTAACGGTGGCTCGACCTCGTCCGCGCTGATAAAATGGAGAATTCATCCTCCGCGCCATCCTCTCATGGCTCAAGGACGTTGTGGTGGGGATCCACTGCCCTATGGGGTCGAGCTCTGTGCACATTGAACAAGTGCACAGGGTGTGGCGGTTCATACTCGTTGTCGCCATCGAGTGTAGTGAGGGGAAGAAGGAAGAAGGGGTGTGTGTACTAGAGGTGACGTGCGACGTGGGATTGTCCTGTAAATCCTGAAGTTTCCCAGTTCACGAAGATGTGAGTAGACCATCAATTACAGGTTGTTGTAACAGAGCTTTTCGAAAACATTTACAAGGGGGCAACCAGGCGAGTCAAGACGCTCTCAGGCGCCTTCCATATACTTGTCGTAATACAAGCGCGCCAAAGCAGGCCCGATCGGCGATCGCGTCCTGCTGTCCAGCACCTACCTCGTCCTTAGCAGCATATTCGCCTTCAACTCCTTAACGATGCACAAATCGTGATCACTTTTGTCTCATAGTTCAAATTTGAAGATTTGTCGCAAGTAGATGCGCGAGCGCCCACTCCACATAGACCCGATCACCCATATCATGCGCAAACGTCGCTTGCAGATTTAATATGACCTCCACCATCGTCGCTGTCCGTCGTCGGGACCTTCCAGCTAACGTCACCCCACGCTGTAGGCTTGAGCACGGCTGACATCGCCTGGAGAGTTCTCAGCCGTTCACCAAGCGACATTGGGCGAAGTCACAATCTATGCGCGTGCGGATGTCCACGCAGGGTCTCATGCCTCATCAATACTACCGCCTCAGAGCCGTTGAAGTTCGAGGAGAAGTGTAGCAAGTGGAGCATGGCTGCGTGAGGTACTCTCTCACCCAGACAGAATGGCTGCACTGATCACCTTCCGTCCCCAGAAGATTGAATGTTTCTCCAGTGGGGATCACTTGCTCGTACAGAAAGACCACTCAGATAATAACTAGTCAAGATTGCCTGATGGTGAATACGACTCAATCAAAACTACCTGCTCCCACGTTGAAGCAACATGCTTCTCCACCGCTGCAAGCACGGCCAGAATCCTCGTCGTTCGTGACGGTGTACGGCCGTGGCACAGGTAAGAATCCGTGGGTCGGCTCATATCCATTCTCTCGAGCTGGCTGTCGGTAGTTTCCAGGGTTTCTGCGGCCTTTTTGTTGCACGGGTCAAATTTGACTCGCAACACACGGTACTCGACATTGTGAGTAGACCGATCGCGCACCAACAGCACAACGTCTCTGATCTGGCCATAAATATCGCCTATCCTATGCCATACTAGGGTGCGCATAGTTGAACTTTATCCTCAATGGTTGTCCTATAGGGCGCTGACTGACCGACAATCAGGCGCAGTATCCTCTACGGGACCATCTTGCTAGGAAGAGTCAGCTGCGACTTTCGCCTGTGCTCTTGGCTGCTCTGGAGAACGCTGATTAAGAGCATGCGCTGGAGTGCTTGCTGATTTACTGTCCTCTCCCCTGTTTCGGGCATGCCACTTACCCACTGGTCGCCGCAGTATCTTACTCAGGCTCATGGGAACCTTTACTAAGACACCAGAGGGCCTGAGGTCAGATACGGTGATAGCACCTGGTGCCTTCTCAGTTGATTTCGAATCTGTTCTGTTTGCTGCATACATCTGAACCCGTTCATACTTCTGATCTTGCTACCGAAGTCCCCGATCAGCTGTCTACCTGTGTCCAGCACGACATCTTTGCATGACATCCAGTAAATGCACAAGAAATCCGTGGCAGTCGCAGATCGGAGCTTTCATCCGATATGTCTTGATCCTGGGACCTGTTTCCACGCTTCCGTCGGTGTCGTTCCGTGCAATGACTATAGTCAACATGGTAAGCTATACTTCTCTAGCCTTGTCTCGTGTGTACATACGTATACCCATTGGGTGCGCCTCCTATTGGGTGGGATTATCCAATCATGAGGAACATTCTCGTCTAGCGCTCGCCGGAATGTTATCGATGAGTAGTTGTCTGCACGTATTGGAGCTCCGCTAGACGCTTGCCAACAAAACTAAACCTTGCAGGATTGCCGTGCTATATACACTCAAACTGTCTAAAGCATCGTTCTGATTGTAGTCAACCTCAAACGAGAGCAGTTCTTCTATTCACAACAAGAGAATTTCCTCATGCTGAACACAATATCAAGTGTTTTAGTAATGCTTCCGCGAAGAGGACTCGCCATTCGTACCGTAATCCTAAGCAAACCCGAACCCTAACCGGCTTCGCCGGCAGCCTCTCGGAGTCCGAGAGGGTGCGGATAACTGGGTGGGACACAAGTCTTATCGATGACGCAGTATATATAGCCCGTTCAGTCCCAAGCAATAACAGTCAGTCAACATACGGACCCATCGCTGCACTCTGCAAGCATCTCAACGCCTGATAAACCTTCACCATGTCTCTCTGCGCCGACTGCTTCAAGGGTGAGTTCTCTGAGCTACATACAAAATGATCGTCGATCGAGTCTGACCTTCGGTCAATACACAGGTGTTCGCCACGAGGGTACTCCGGAGGGTATGTAGCCGGCCTACGCCTGTGGTTTGCCTAAGAATGCCGTTGCCCACTCTGACGTCCATGCTCAGGTACCACCCAGACGATCGGTGGGATTGAGTCTTATGTAGCCATTCCGGAAGGAGACTACCCAAAGGATAAGGTCGTCTTATACCTTGCTGATGCCTTCGGTCTCAAGCTCGAAAATAACCTGGTCAGCGACAATTTCCCATTTGAGATGACAACGACCCTGCTCATGCGAAGATGAACCAATAGCTCCTGATCGATGACTTCGCGCGCAACGGCTACAAGGTCGTCGCGCCCGACGTCTTCGACGGCGAGCCCGCCCCCGTGAATGCTTTTGAGCCCGGTGTGACCTTCGACTTCGGGGCTTGGATCTCCCGCCATCCCCCATCGAGGGCCAACACCATCGTCCGCTCGGTCATCGACGCCCTCAAGGCTGAGGGCGTCACCAAGTTCGCCGCTACCGGTTACTGCTACGGCGGTCGTCTCGCCTTCGATCTCGCCTTCACGGGCGACGTCCAAGTCGTGGCGGTCTCCCACCCGTCCATCCTCAAGACACCCGATGACCTGCAGAAGTATTTTGAGGTCGCGAAGGCGCCGCTTCTCATCAACTCCTGCGAAGTCGACCAGCAGTTCCCCATCAAGTCGCAGAAGGTCGCGGACGAGATCTTGGGCGATGGCAAGTTCGCGCCTGGCTATCAGCGCACGTATTGGCCTGGTTGCGTCCACGGCTTCGCGGTCCGTGGTGACCTGGTACGTAAACCATGGACTCACCATGCCGGACTTGATCTCACTTTTGGCCGCAGAGCAAGCCGGAGGTCAAGGCGGGCAAGGAGGGTGCTTTTAAGGCTACTGTGGAATGGTTCCAGAAGTACCTGTAGATGGAAGCGCGTAACGGTAGCAGTGAAGAAGTATCACCATTGTAGCTTGCATGATAGATGTATGAGGTCGAACGTCACAGTCTAAATGTCCACAACCACAATGAGGATGAGGTGAAGCACCTCTCGTTACCTCGTGACTTCATCCACCACTCGTACACTATCTTGATGACTCGAATCCAAGAAAGAACATGCGCCCGGGAGATCACGTTGGCCTACACTGGTTTCGTTACGCGCGTAGATCGTCAGTTCGCCAGATACATTCCTCTCTGAACGGCGTCCAACTCCGAAGGCTGACGTCGACATTGACAAGACCACGGCGTGTCTCCGACGGGAGAAGGTGAGGGAAGCCTGCCCCCCAACCGCTGTGGAAGAAGCCAAGCTGTGTAGGCTATCATGAGCGAGGACGCCATTGTGTCTTTCAGAACCTTATCCCTGACTCGGGATACTCTCAACACCGAGGTACCGACAACCATAATGCGCGTGATGGCTTCAGTAGCAGCCGATACTCGTTCAGTACGCTGTCACAATGTACCCGACAGCGACCGGAGGGACATCGAAGTCCCCAGGTCGCATCGTATCTCCTTAGCAAGCCCGCCACAGGAGAGGTGCTCTGCAGCAAGCGCCGCGAGCATGACCGATGAGCCCATGACTCCTCGACTTGCATACCAGTCCTCTAGGTGAGCATTCCATAAGTCAACGTTGTCAAGGACACAGAGTTGTATCAACCCACCATAGATCGTCGGACTACAAGACCGCAGTGACGCTTACTTGCATCAACAGAATTCAATCCGGCAGGCAAACAGCCCTAGATGTGTGATCCGGTCAATAAGTGCATTCAATATCGTAATGTTGGCTTGTCAGTGAAGTCCGAAACTAGCACGCAACGTACAGTAAAGCGTCCATCTCGCGACCACATTATATCGCGTGCGGAGTCCACATCACCAAAGACGGAATACAATCCCAAGCAAGACCGAGAGCCAGCTGACAGACAGAGAAGTGAAGTGATGATTCGCGCCATTGGCACCTCCCTTGCTTGTCCCTGCAAGTGGGAATGTACCGCTGTTCCCATTGCTGTTCGCGAGCGCAGTCGGGTTGACCGTCTCAGTCGCCACTGGGTTGGTGACCGCAGTGGTCGAATACGTGTGGGTCGCCTTGGGGTTCTCCTGAGCTTGTGCATCGCTCGAAAGGAAGACGAGCGCCGCTCCGGGAGCAGGCACGTTTATGAGGCAGGAGTTCGTAGCCTGGTTGCAGGTGACAGTTTGGACCACCTCGGTACCGGAAAGACGGCCATCAGCAGCGAAACGGCCTCCGAACGTCTGCCGGGATGGATGATTGACCGACCCGCCGAAGTGGAGCGCATTGTCTACATACCTGATTCGCCCAGGTGACCTGGTCCTTGTCACTCACAGACGGGGCAAGCAGATATCTGCCAGATTGTCAGCAAGATACCCACCGGACACCGTCGAATGGAAACTTGCTTCACTTGGACCTGCGTAGGCGCAGCGTTTGCCTCTCCCACTGCGTCCCCGCCGACAGAGATCGTCACGTTGTAGCTGCCGAAGCCGTCCTGCTCGTTCATGAAGTTCACCAAAGCAATCCGCGCGAGCGCGTCGTTCTCGTAGATCGCATACGCAGGGGTAAAGTCGTTTCCGCCATTGGCACGGAGATCTACCACCCGAGACGTGTTGCTAGTCCCAATGGCTTCCGCCACGAATAGCGTGGCGTACATCACCGGGCCGACCGTCCAACTCTCAAATAACGATAGGTTGGTTGGCGGAGCTGTGCGATGCAAGTGTGCGTAATCGGATTAAACAGCGTGATCGGATGTACTCACGAGTAAACGGCTATGCAGCGATGATGAGCCACTACGCAAGCACCAAGAGATCGAAGCTTACATTATAGGAGACGTTCTGACCACCAACGTGCAACAGCGCACCAGTGAAGTTGCTGTACGCCATTTGCAGACCGTAGTCTACAGCCCACAGCGCAGACGCGAAGCTATCACTGACGCCCGGGAACCCTCCACAGGAAGCGGTGTTCGTCTCGAACATCATGAACTCCTTTCCAAGCTGCTGAGCGATGCCGGCAGTATTAAGATACGGCTGAACGATCTGCTGGCCGGAGGCATGGGTGAGATAGTTTGGGAAGACCGCCTGGGGATCCTTGACGGGCCCGAAGCCACCGTCAGGGAACTCAGCCGCGCAGTTCTGGTCTGGATAGCTGGAGCACACAACGAGCATCAAGTAGTGGCGTCGCGGCATGGTAGAGATCTTACGCACTGCTCCATAGCTATAACGCCAATGGAGGTGGAGTATGCATCGAGGTAGCCAGTTGCCCAGAGGTCTTCGGCCTTCCAGGTGCCCTGGAGACTAGGAGCGACGAGCTTGTTGGCGTTCTTGATCTGCTTGTCGTCGTGTATCCCATTTACCATTACTCCGAACTCGTCGGAGTAGTCCTGGACATCGTACCCCTCGGGCCGACGCTGATGGCTACCTCGTGTGTTAGTTCCTAGACTAGGCCAGGCGATTTGATAGCGCTCCGACTTACGACGCGTAGAGGTCCGGCTCGTTCCCGACCTGGTACCCGAGCACGTTATCGCCCAAAATAGCGTCTCCCAGCTCAGCGATCTGCAAACGGAGGTGCGTCGTATCGTTCATCGGAATGCCGAGATACCATTTGGCATTTACAAGGGACGATACGTTCGCGAGCAGGTAGAGCAGCTCGCTCGTGTAGTCCAACGTAGGCGTCTGACCCTGCGTCGCGAGAATCGTCGTGAATCAGGGACTCGGGAAACATAGGATGATCGCAAGCATTGTCGACGTACGGTACTGACGGGGCCGGCGATAGCGCTGTTGTCCTTCGTTATCATCGCGTTGTCCGGCAGACTGCTAACGAGCGACGCCATTTCCTGGGTGTTCCCTCCGACGCGGATGCGCACGTCGATTGCTCGGTCTGCGAGCGTGGCAAGCAGGTTGAGGAAAGGGACCTGGATGAAAGATCTGCAGCCCTAGACTTGAACGCTTGATAATCATCTGAGAAGAGTTTGTCGTACGCACGCGTTCTTCCCAACTGCGTCACACACGGTCAATTGGGGGTGAGCGGACGATTCATACACATACAACTGATCGTCTTCCACTCACTGACTTGTTCCACCACCGACATCTCGATCGAAAACCCAAAGAAATCGCCCCTCTGCGGGATCGACAACCCGGCCATGTGCTGCGCCTGGCTCGTCAGGGTTAGCGCGAACGACGTCGCCGGCATTGGACTCGGCAGCGGAGGCGCCTGAAGCCGAACATTGTTGTACGCATTCAGCGCGCTGATCCATCCGATGTTCCCCAGTGTTGCTCCAGGCGCGGCCGAGCCCGACGACCCAGTGGGTTGCTCGGCGCCCGCGGGATCGTACACTGTCACTGCATGGGAGAGCAGGGAGCACTGCGCGATGAGGTACAGCAAAAGTAAGCCGGACACCATAGCAGAAGTTCTCCAGGGCCCGAGATGGGCAAAGTCCAAAGGCAGGAGAGAAGGTCCTCGACTGGCACCGCAGGATAGAGAGAGAGGGCGAAGACGAACGCAGGACAGAGCTAGAAAGATATATGATTATCAGAGCAAGACACTGCTTCACGCGTCTCCGGACCCTTGTCAGAGGTCGTGGCCAGCGAATGTTCAGGACGACGGCGTCGTATCCCCGAAACTGTAGAAGAACAGGCGCCAGAGGGGCCGAAACCCTTAAGGGCTGAGCCGCCAGGCTTCATAGACAAGGTAGATAGAGTCAACGATGCTTTCTCCGCGTTGTATGCCGCCGAAGGTGATCTGAGCTCCAATGCCGATCGGGTTGACTTGTCGCACGGTAATCATCATACTCACCTGCTCGAAACGATGAGCGTAGCGCGATAACAGGGCGTACCTAGACAGGCCACCTGGACCACATCCAGCTCTGATTAGAAATAGGCGCATATTCACCAAGCGCAGACCGGCAATCAGTACCGCAGTGGTAAACCTCCGTGTCATCGGTTCAGCGTTGTGGTTGGCCCATAAGCCAGCGTATCGCAGCATGCAAGCGGTCTGCTAAACACGCAGCGAGACTGATGGTTCATAGCGGAAGGAAGCGACCTCTTAGGGCTTTCGCGCCGATAAGCAGTTCGCGCGCGCAAATGTTACAGAGCGACTATCCATGACTCCGCGGCCAATAGACAATGTCAGCAATGCTCACAGGAGCAAACGGATATGACTCACCACTACGCTGGCGACATGTAGATGCAGATGTTCATCGAATCTGACCACAGACTGGTACAGACATCTCTAACCCCATGCACACGACCGTCGACCAGTAGCACTGGGGAACACACAGCAGAAGAAGGATTGTTAACGAGGACGCACAGGTTATATATGTATACACCCTGCGCTAGCGAGCGTCCCAGACCTCATGTTGTTTTCCAGAGTCCCCGCCAGACTCCACCATGAACAACCCCAGTGGGTCTCTTCTGTGATGACCGTGAGGGTGAGCACCTTGACACCATTCATAGCAGCATCGCATCCGCATAGTACTCAACCATTACCTCTCTAGTACGCCCGAAACAGGCCCATAGCCCAAGACCCATCCTCTCATTTTGCATTCGCCTCAGCAATCCCACTCTGAGGCCCAGCCTTGCTTTTTAATCCAACGAACTGCCTCCCTACCAATTACTCTTCCAGCCGATGGCATTGGGCGTCGGGTGGTCCGCGTCTCGAGGGTGTGCAGCGTCTGCACCTACCACGGCTCTGGAAAGTACGAAGACGCTGTTCTCACCATGGCGGCTTGTGTATGCAGAGGCAAGAGATGCAATTGCAAGAGAGCAATCAGCAGCCTGGGAGGGCTGGCGACAGTCGAAACAAGCATGAAATGTCGATCATGTTGCACCAGAGTGGGAAGCGGGAGGGCGTGAGAAAAGCGGAGGAACATCGATGGAAGCGCGCAGAGCGGCAAGCCCGCCCGCCACTGGCATTGTATATGCAGGAAAGCCCTATTGTCCAACAGAATGAGATGGACGTAGCGAGTCCATGAACGCTCTCTTTTCGGCGAATGGTTGTAGCGTGAGAGGACGTGTTTCATATTGGACGAGTCGCCAGCACGATATTGGCCGGGACTACAAATTGTCGGTACCTGCTACGCCATGCAGGGTACCCAGTGATCATACAACCTACTCGGGTCTCACGCAGTGCGTGTGACATCTTGGTTACGTGAACAGGGGTAACATCAATCTACACAATACGACGAGACAGCATTGATGGCGACAAAAGATTCGCTCGCTTATCCACATATCCCAATTTCTAGTAGTTCGATAGTGCTCGGAAGGCTGGCAACTACAGCACCCATATCAATACGGCAATCCTGATCGTGAAATGAACTAGTCTCAGGATGTCTCACTCACTTTTCCTTACTCTCTGTCCGCAACGTCGCTCTCAGCCCCCTCATCCCACTCACCCTCCTGGGCAAGGTAGTCCTCGGGGCGAATTGAGGCTCCAAGCGAGCCAGCCACTCTCTCGAATGATGTGAAGCCATCGAAGTACGCCGACAAAGCCTGCGAAGAAGCCACGGAACCGACGGCTCGGAGACTGGCGGATTGTAGATGCAGGAGGAAGCGCGAGACGAGCACTGCGGATAGTCTGCATATTTGGCCAGGGAAACGAAGGGGCCAGTGACAGGTCAGTACGGCGGAAGAGTGGATGAATGCCAATGATTCCATACGGGACTACGAAATTAGCCATAGCAGAGGTGTTTTTCAGGGCTAAGACATCAGGCTTTCAAGGAGCATTAGCACTGGATGTTCAACATTCAATCATGCCGGTTATGCTCTTGGACGCTGCTTACCGAGAGTAGCGTATAAATGAGTTGCAGGCAGTTGAGGACAACAAAGGTCCTAAACAATCGATATATAAAATGCAATACAGCTCCAAGGCCTCCAACGCACAAGAAATAGACAGTGCCTGAGTGTAAACAAGTCAGAATGCAGATCAGCAGCAATCCATGTCTACTCAGGCGCTCACCGTCCGTCAAGAAGACGCTTGAGAGAGAGCGCTTGAGCACGACCCCATGGCAGATGTCCCGGGGCCGGACCAGTGTGAACCACGTTGCACCGATGGCGAGGCAGTGTGCAATAACGAAGCATGAGCGGGATATTATACCAACTAGCAAGAAGAAGTGTCAAAACATAGGCAAATACTGCGTGATGGTGATTGTGAATCTTACATCTGGAACACGTCCGAGTCAGACCGAGCCCTATACAAGATTCGTCAGTATAAATGTCAAGCCAAGAGAGAAGCTGTACAATGAACGAATGGAACTGCTCAGCATTCGAAGTATGAACGGTGCGGTGAGGTCTCGCGTATATGGGCTGTTACGTATGCGTAAGATACTGCCGAGGCGGGCATGGCAGCGATCAGAAGATATAAGCAGTGATCTATACCAAAAGGAAGGGCGGACGTCGGGAGGGTGTGTATGCTTTGACAGGTACGACAAGATAAAGGAAACATACGAATATACAACATTTAGGTGGCCTTGAACGACTTGACTGACGTCTTCGAAAGCGCCGCAGAAGTATTGTTGAATTGCGTACATCCAATGGGACAGATGATCTTGCCCGTCACCCCGAACCAGAAGGTCGCCTGACCCTGTATGAGTGTTGAAGGAGGACACCGGCAGTTTAGAAGCTATGAAACAATCTTACAATGTTGACTCCAGCAGGCACCATAGACATGGCGAAGGCAATGGAGGAAAGGAAGAAGCTCCTCCGTAGGGCATGAACACGGATTGCGGTGAAAGCTCAAAGCACAAACATTTGTTACCGATTGAATCGCGATATATGTAGCGCTTACCTGCTGGGATAAGGAAAAGGAAGGCATCCACAGCGACACCTCCTTTTGCCGAGACAGCACACCTGCGCAGCGCTCAGTCCCGAGGCTCTGAGGAGAAGCATTCAGCTCACAGCTGTGCCGTCATACAGTTAGCCACTGTCAGTATGGGGGCCTAGAGAGCACATGCTCACTTCTTTCGATGGAGCAAACTCCGACCCAAAATTCCACGCCAGGAAAAGGATCGTCATGTACTTGTTCATCCAGAACAAGATGGCGGCCCCGGTCACTTTGCGTCCCCAAAAGCACCGTATTTCTTCCCCTGTGGTGATAATTATGTCGTATAGGAATACTGCTACATTGAACATGGGAACAAGTCAGAGATTCGACATCTAGAACGCGATATAGGTCGCGGATAAGACGAAGTACCTGCTCCAGCTATGGCGCGATAGTCTCGAACCAAGCTACGAGTTTGCACAATCATCAATGCTATTGTTCCAATTTGCGTCATTGGAGACACATCACTCACAACGTGGTATACTCTTCAGTGATTTGGCCTGTCCGCGTACAAGACATAATAGTCCGAGCTGGGGTGCTATGAATGCTTCGTATCAAACAGGGGCATAGTTCAGTGGACCCAAACACTATAGTCGATGTCTAATTAGTGATCCGAGACTGCGTCGGTCGCGGGAGGATAATAACAAATATACATCCACCGTGATCTCCGAACAAAACCCAGTATCTCCACCGTATGGGACGATACGGTCGACATGTGAGATGTCGTGGCCGCAGCTGTTGCCATGAGATATTTTCTTTTGAACAGACGGATGAAGCTCGACAGACGTCATATCAAGACGATGGTCCGATATACAAAAGCGCGCTAGCTGAGGCGGTGAGCGAAGCAAACAACGCTTGATGAACTGACACACGGCATGGTCGGCACAACCAAAGAGTTCTGTACAGAAAGCAGTATAGACGGCCAACGCACCTGAAAAGTAGCATGCAACCTAATAGCGGGCGGAGCGACCACGCCCGATGCTCTGGGTGCGCATGACTCCCCGCTGAAGTGCCTCCGTAGACCCTGGCGTCAGGCGGCCGCGATGATCGCGCGCAAACTCTCCTGCGAATTCGCAATGAGCTTGGGTACCTCGGGGCTGGGCAAGCAAATGCACTTACCGGTACAAACGTATCATCCAAGATAATATTTCAACCAGTCAGTGCCGAAGGCACAAATTGGCGAGCACCCACCTCCGCCAGCACCGGAAGCCCGAGCACGCAACGGACACCCGCCCCAGCGCCAGGGAATAGCAGTCGAACGAGGAGCTCAATTAGTAAAGCAACATACTACCGTCTACACAAGAACTGTCCTGCGCAGGTCAAGCAAGCGTCCGCCGCCGGGTAACGATGTTTTATATACAGTCCAACACGAGATCCTCGCCTCTGATCATGGTATCGATCACCTCCTCAGCGCCCCCGAGACCGCACAAGCCCCAAGGACAAAGGCGAGCAACGCCACCAGCCCAGGAACAGCGCCCGCGGTCCGCGCCGCGTCGCTGCTCCCCTGGCTCGTGCTCGACAGCCCGCGGTCCTTCGCGCTCATCCCGTTCGACGTCGCGAGCACGCTCGGGTCGATGCTCACCGTGTTTGCCGTCTTCGTGAGCGCCGTCGTCGCGTACGTCTCCGTCGTCGACGGGTCCGTCTCGCCCTGCGCGCCCGAGGAGATGAAGACGAGCGCGACGCCCGGCGCGGGCACGGGGATGTCGCACGTGTTGGCGTTCGTGTCGCACGTGATGGTCTGGATGACCTCCGTGCCCGAGAGGCGGCCGTCGCACTCGAAGCGCCCTCCATAAGTCTGCGAAGCACCACAACGTCAGCACGCAGAACCGAACGAAAACAGAGACACCGGTCGAGACGCACCTGGTTCGCCCACGTAACGTTGTCCTTCTCCGCGACGCTGGGCGCCGTGAGGTACTTGACCTTGACCTGACTCGGCGTGCCGTTCCCCTCGCCCGTCTGGCCGCCGCCGACAGAGATCGTGGCGGTGTACGCGCCCTGTCCGTCCTGCTCCGTCATGAAGTTGACGAGCACCATGCGCGCGAGCGCGCCGTTCTCGTAGATCGCGTACGCGGGCGTCTGGTCCGAGCCGCTGTTCGCGTTGAGGTCGAGCACCTGCGACGTGTTCGTCGTGCCCAGCGCCTCGGCGAGGACGAGCGTTGAGTAGAAGATCGGGCCGACTGTCCACCCGTGCGTCGTCGAGAGGTTCGTCGGGGGTGGGGTGAAGGGCTGCGAAGATCGTTCGTGAGCCACCGATCGATAGAAATGCAGCATGAATGGCACTCACGTTGTACGACACGTCCTGCCCACCGATATGCAGCAACGCGCCCGTAAAGTTACTATACGCCATCTGCAGCCCATAATCCACCGCCCACAGCGCAGAGCCAAAGCTATCGCTCACGCCCGGGAACCCGCCGCACGACGCGGTGTTCGTCTCGAACATCATGAACTGCTTCCCCATCTGCTGCGCGGTCGGGACCGCGCTCAGGTACTGCGCAATAAGATTCTTGCCCGCGTTGTGCGTCAGGTAGTTCGCGAACACGTCCTGCGGGTTCACGGGGGTCCCGAAGCCCGCGTCCGGGAACGCCGCGGCGCAGTTGTTGTCCGGGTACTGCTCGACGGACAGGATGCTGACCGCGGAGCCGTATGAGGTGAGGAAGCCGGTGTCGAACACGGACTCAAGCGTCCACGTGCCCTGCAGGGACGGTGCGACGAGGTTACCGCGGGTGGGGATGTTCGCGTTGTTGCTGATCGCGTTCACGACGATGCCGAATTCGTCGAAGTAGCTCGTCTGGTTGTAGCCTGATGGCCGGTGGCCGTGGCTATGCGTGTCGCCGGTCAGTTGAGGGCGCGCGAAGCTTTGAGGTTTGACGATGCGATGTACTCACGCTACGTAGAGGTCAGGTTCGTTGCCGACCTGGAAGGCTAGGACGTTGTCCCCAAGGATGGCCTCTGCGGCTTCGGCGATCTGGAGACGGAGGTTTGAGGTATCGTTGAACGGAATACCGAGGTACCATTTCGCGTTGACTAGTGATGAGACGTTGGCTAGGAGGTATATCATTTCCGCCGTGAAATCGAGTACGGGGGTGTCCGTCTGGCAACGAGGTGGGATTAGCGAGCTGATGGCTACAGTCTCCGGTAACGCTGTGTCGCAGATAACCACCACAATGTCCCATAACAGCAAGCTTGAACAAAGCCAAGATACAGCTCTGCCAAGATCAACATACCAACCTGCGCCAAGGCCGACAGTAGTATGCTCGCAAGGAGCGATCTGAGATCATCGGTGGCTACTGCGCGTGGCGTCGATTATGACGACGTCATGAAGTCGCAGGCGCTAAACTCGCCTCCGAGCAAACATCGATAACTTAAGGTCTGGAGCATCCTGAATTACATCCATAAGGCTGCCATATTTTGTGGTCATGATGAAGCCCAGGATTACGCATAAACCACGGGAATCGTCTTCCCCAATCGTGAAAAGGACCGCAGTATAATTTGAGAACATAGCTGCCATGGAAGCACGCAACCCGAAGCAGGGCAGCTACTGCATGTACACACGCTGCAGCCAAAATGGCCCAGCACATACCCGCGGATCCACAGCGATCTTCGCGAACAGAAGAGCAACGCACCGGGTTAGTCGCGTCCGTCTTGTCCTTCGCGATCATCTCGTTGTCTGGCAGGCTGTCCACGAGCGTCGCCGTCTCCTGGGTATTACCACCGACACGTATACGAACACGCCCGGCCCTGTCGGCGACGGTCGCGAGCAGGTTGAGGAAAGGCACTTGGATGAAGGACCTGTGCATCCACGTCAGCTGAGCCACACGAACTCTGATTGCCAAGACGCTTGGAAAAACGACATACGCGTTCTTGCCGACTGAACCCCAGAGCCAAGCGCAAGCAGATCTCCCGTCAGATCTCCCGTTCATCACACAAAGAGGCATACACGACCTCAAACAGCGCGGTACTCACTGACTTGGGTGACGACCGACATTTCGATCGAGAACCCGAAAAAGTCGGCGCCCTGCTGGATCGAGAGCCCTTGCACGTCCTGGGCGTTGTTCATGACCGGAATCGTGAACGCAGTCGAGGGCATGGAGGTCGGTAGCGCGGGAGCGGTGAGGGTGACGTTGTTGAAGGCCGCCAGTGCAGAGAGCCAGTCGGTGGCGGTCGCGGCGGCGGCAGCGCCCGTCTCTGTCGCTGCGCCAGAGACGGCAGTGACGCCTTCCTGGCCGTAGATGGTCACTGCGGCGGCATGATGTGGGTATGTCCAAATGCTAGCGAGGGAGAGCAAAAAGAGTGAGGGTTTGAGCATGGCTGCAGCTTGGGCAGCAGTCTGAGCAGCGCTAGAGCACGAGCAGGAAGGAAAGACAGAGCAATCAGCAGTATAGCAGGACTAGCTGTGGACACAGAGCGAGAAAGCCAGAGCGACGACCCGATGGGGAGAGGGGACAAGGAGGGCGGAGGTAGATGGGAGGAGAAAAGAGCGACGGGAGGAGAAGGGCTGCAGTCGCAAGGGAGCGAGACGTCGACGTGACAGACGAAATGCACCGAATCCGTCCCGCAGCCTGCAGCGAACAACGGATCCGGGCACTGTCTAGCCTGCCATTCCCTAAGAATAGCGCCCCCGTGGCCAATCGCCATCCGTCCCACACCACCCTCGGCCGGCCTTGCTCCCATATCCGGCAGGAGCGCGCGCCGGGACGGCCGATCTAACTGCGCACATCCCGCGCGAACATTCTCGCGCCCTTGTCCGTTGCGTCGGCTGCTGCGCCCCCGAGGCACAAGCACCATCTCCCGCTCTCGCGCAACTGGGAGTCGAGCATCCATGGCGCGTTTGCCGGTAAAAGCCCGGTGTCCGTGCCTGAGAAACGGGCGGAGGCGTCAAGACGACGGCCGCGAGTGCGGGATGCCGGAACCTGTCCCATGTATTCCTGTGCGCGCGCTGAGGTCGAAAATAGAGTCTCTAAAAACGCACCGTCCGGATATGTACCTCGAAGTCAATCACCCATGTCGCCCCCCTACATAGGGCACGGACGTGCTCTGTACACGCTCGCCCACGCCCCACGTCCATCCCGGTGTACCTCCGCAGACAGGCCATGAATAGCTTCAAGCGTGGTTCTTGCGGTCAAGAAAGCGGTCAAAGAACGGAATAGTGTATTCCTGTACAACGCTGCCAGATCAGTGAGCTGATAGCTATAGAAAGACGGACACAAGGTACGCACCTAAAACAAACTCAGCAGCGGCAGCAGACGCTGTTAGGGTGTACATTAACGAGTCCCGATAGTTAGGTTACAGACGGATGGACGAACGAACGACACCCGCGAGTGGACGACACGCGCCGCGCGAACCTACGAGCGTCCCACATGGCCACACACATTACCTCCCCGTGCCCGCGTCCCCCGTCGAGTCCGTGAAGACTGCCAGGCAGTCACATCCGCGCAGAGAGCGGAAAACCACATTCCATCCCACCACTGACACTCCCGGCGAGCCACACAGGTTCTCACCGGATCGTCACCCGGAAGAAGACCGCCACGCCTGCGAGCGCACTGAACAACGCAGCAACACCCGGGGCGACCGCCCCCGCCGCGCCGTTCGTCCCGCCCTGGCTCGTCCCGCCCATGTTGTTCAGCCGGCTCTTCCCGCTGTCACCGTTGCTCGTCGCGAGCACCGACGGGTCGATCGTGACCGTGTTCTTCGTCTTGGTGAGCACCGTCGTCGGGTACGTCGAGTAGCTCTCGCCTGCGATCGCCGCCTGCGCGTCCTGCGAGAAGTACACGATCGCCGCGCCGGGCGCGGGCACCTTCACCGTGCAGCTGTTCGCGTTCTGGTCGCACGGCACTGTCTGAATGTTCTCCTCGCCCTTCCAGCGGCCGTCCGACGCGAACCGCCCCCCGAGTGTCTGTTCACGTCAGCTCGACTCTCGCTGTGGCACCAGCGAGGACACATACCTGCCCAGCCCAGGTGATGTTGTCCTTCTCCGACGTCGAAGGCGCGAGGAGGTACTTGACCTGCACCGACGCAGGCACCCCGTTCGGCTCGTTCCACCCCGAGCCTCCGACGTAGATCGTCGCCGTGTAGTCGTTGGCGCCCGACGGGTCCGTCATGTAGTTGATCATCGCCATCTTGGAGAACTGCCCGTTCTCGAAGACGGCGTACGCGGGCGTCTGCCCGTTGCCGTTGTTCGCGCCCATGTCCTTGATCCGCGTCGTGTTGCTCTTGCCCATCACCTCCGCGACGAACACGGCCGAGTAGAACAGCGGGCCCGTCGTCCACCCGTGCAGCGCGGACTCGTTCGTCGGCGCGGCCGTGAATGGGTTGTACGATACGTTCTGCCCACCGAAGTGGAAGAGCGCGCCGGAGAAGTTCGAGTTCGCGAGCTGCAGCGCGTGGTCGATGCCCCACAGCGCGGACGTGAACGCGTCCGAGATGCCTGGGAACCCGCCGCACGACGCCGTGTTCGTCTCGAACAGCAGGAACGGCTTGCCCCACTGCTGCGCGAGCGCGGTCGAGTTCAGGTACGGCTGCACGAAGTCCAGCCCCGCCTGGTGCGTCAGGTACGTCGGCAGCACCTGCAGCGGGTCTCGCGGCGGGTTCTGCGGGTTCGGGAAGATCACCGCGCAGTTGTCCGCCGGGTAGTGCTCGACGGCGAGGTGCGACAGGTACTGCCCGTACGCCTCGACGAAGCCCGTATCCCACACCTGCTCGGGCGACCACACCGCGTACGACGTACTCGGCGCGATGATCTTGTTCTTGACGGGCACATTCCCGTCGGCCTGCCACGCCTGGGTGAACAGCGCATACTCGCCAAAGAAGTCGAACGGGCTGTAGGTCAGGGGACGGTGTCCGTGCTGACCGTAGAGGTCGGGCTCGTTCGCCGCTTGGAAGCCGAGCAGCCTGTCCCCGAGGATGGCTTCGCCGAGCTCGGCGATCTGGAAGCGCCAGTTCGCTGTGTCGTTGAACGGGATACCTGTAACGGGATGGTATCGTCCCGATGATCCGCGCGAGAATAGAGCGGAATAGCTTACCAAGATACCAGTTGATGTTTACCAGGGAAGAGACATTCGCGAGCATGTACAGCAAATCTGGGGTGAGCGCGAGGACGGGGGTTGCCGTCTGCGTTGTCAAAAGTCAGTTGGACCTACACAGCCGAGAACACTAAACGAAGCGCACCGGGTTAGAGGCATCCTCCTTATCCTTCTCGATCATCTTGCCGTCCGCAAGCGAATCGACAACGAATGCTGTCTCCTGTGTGTTACCGCCGACGCGGATATGAACGCTACCTGCCTTTTCGGCGATAATGCTCATGTAATTGAGGAACGGCACATTGAGGTTTTTCCTGCAATGACAAGAGTCAATCAGATCTATTTTTGTGGAGAACTGCTGCCGTGTACTCACGAGCTTGTTCCGACTGCGGTAGGCACGCGTCAAGTATGATTAGCCACACAATACCGCAAATAGGCAACACATAACAAGAAGCATTGAGCGCACAACACAACTGGAGGTGGTTAAGACGACCCTTCGTTCCATCCTTCATGGTAGATGCTCGAGCTGGGGCATGCTTCGGCGAAAACACTAGAGAGATCCTCTAGGTAGCGGTAGCGTGTCGGAATGGGACAAAAGCTAGACAAGGCTTTTGTATCTGTAGCCATGTTTAACAGGTTTATGAGCGGGTTCAACCGCCGTCCTGTGCGCTCTCTGGTTCATTGTCCCATGGAGCGGGTTTTGGGTCGTCTACTTACGAGACTGTGTCACGTCGCTTCAGGACAAAGACGGCGCGACAGCTTGCGCGCGAGTACTCCGCCGGTAACTGCCCTTGAGGAGGTTTCTAGGCTGCATATAGGTGCAGAAATGCCGCGCGCCGCAAGTCTTTTCATCGTATCCCAGACTACAACACCATCTAGCACACCTGCAGCAGGTGCTCTCTCAACCCGCTGGCTAATCATGATCCAGACAGAATTTCCTGTGCACACTGCAGCCGTATGTGCGAGCCTGGATGACCGAACAACACCACAGGAGTCGATATAGCCCTCCTTATCTGGTCGCCGTCGGGACAGGAAACGGGGAAGACGGCAAGATTTGAGGCAAAGAGGGGCCCTGCTGCTACAACACCACCCACACTCCTCCGTACCTCTCCGCATCCACAAAAACCGCAAAAGAGGACAATCAAGCAGCAAACAACTCACTGAGCTGGTTGGCCACGGACATTTCGATTGAGAAGCCGAAGAAGGTGCCTGCTTGGGGGATAGAAATGCCCGTCATCAGGTTCTGGTCGGTGGGCACACCGATCGCGAACGTGTTTGGCGGCGGAGGGTTCGGGATAGCGGGAGGTTCCCAGTAGACGGGGTTATAGGCTGCCAGTCCGGTGTAAGATGGGGGTCCGGGCACTGTTATGAAGGTCGTAGAGGGCGCAGAGGTGCTGCTTGCGCCCTGCTGGACGGGGGCGGCGGTCGTCTGGCCAAAGAGGCCGTAGATTGTGACATCAGCGCGGGCGACAGAGACGAGGAGACATGAAGAGAGCGCAAGGAGTGGATAGTACATGTTGGCCATGCACTGCACGGGTATATGGAGTGCCCTGAGGCGGAGAGAGAGAAGGAAAGATGGACGAGAAAGGGCTGACGACTTGCTTTATAATATAGACTAGTTACGGAACACGCGTTGCTGATTGCAATAAGGAACGCGGATAGCAACGTTGTCACTACATATATGTGAACATCTCCTAAGCGGGATCAACACAGTGTACAGCTATCATAGTCCCCTCATCCTCTCCCTTTCCTTGCATCTCAGATGCTTCCACGACAGGTTGCAGTGTCTACCGTATGTCGAGACGATTTCTGAGGAACTACATCTGCGTCGGATAGAACATGGACAGACCTCGTCAACTTAATAATGTTTCTCGCTCGGTGAAGGAAGCCCGTCAGATCTCGATCTAACAGCAACCACATTTGGCAGCTTCATATATAATCCTGATCAGGAACCTCGGAGGCACTGCTGCCAAGCCCATTCAGCGAGCCCTGCGTCATTTACTTGAAGGCTCCGTCGCTGCCATATGATATGGCCACCGTCAACATAGGAACTGCGGTCCCAGCTACAACTCAAGCCATTCTCGCTGTTACATCGCTCGTATACTGCGCAGTCTTCTGAGCCACTTCGGTCGATTGCTCACCGCCCAGGTGACAGCTGCGAGGTGTGATGCAGGCGCCGGAGCAGCGCCCGGGGCTCCTCCCCGACAGATGCGCAGAGTTGCGGGACAGATATCAAGTTATTGTTCTACGTAGTCAGTGCGTCACTTTAACCAGTCGGATTGGCAAAGTCCGCATCACATGTCTATGTATCAAAGTTCCTGCAAGTGCAAGGACGGCTTGTCGTCTCTTGTCGTGCACGGATAGCGAGAGCAATTCTCGGTAAGTCTCATGCCTCTACACGCTCCCCAACTTCAGGCTTATTCAAGCAATCTTCAGTGTCATCTGGTGACAGGAATCGAGGAAACGCGCGCTATTCGTCCTTGGCAGTCGGTCTTGTTGTGGGCAGCAAGCCTTTCCATGTCTCGGACCGCGGGAGCTACCTTGCGATGTCCCGCATTGGCAGACCCGAGTCCGCATCTGCAAATCAGACTTCCTATACTGATGACATCTTCTATCTAACTCTAAAGCCAGTAACAGCCAGGCAGTAGAGTTGCTCATCGGAGAACATACCGCCAGATATGCTTCGTCGCCGTTGATGAGACGAGTGCTTGTGCCTGTCAAAAATGGTAACCCACGCGTGAGCCCGTCTGTATGTCAGCGTCATGTAACGCAACGAAAGGTCAACTATCTCATAAGTAGAGGATGTCAAGATCGCAGTATACTTACAATTGATCCGCTCACGAGCCAATACTCCACCACCGGGTGAGTCTTCTCTCCGACTCGGGTACGTCTTCGCCTAGTAAATCTGTTTGCTACGCCGTTACAATGAATATGCACAACTCAACAGTCGCTACCCTCCGATCGCGATTGGAAAGGTCCGTTCGTACCGAGTGCTCGACCATAGGGGCCTCGAGTTTCTCGTTAGCTCTCTTGCGAGATTGAGATGTCGAGCCGCATAGCACTGGAAGATGAACTCGAGGGGTATGAAAGGCATGCCATCGCGAAGATACTTGGCAATGATCTCATGAGGATAGTTTTTAGACCTACACGTCGATTTGGCAGCTCCCAATAATCCACCTCGTAATGGGCGGTGCGTGCTTCAATTCCATATACAGCCCCGTGGCTTCGAGTCTATTGCTGGATCACTAGGTATCGAGTCATTGCGAACAAGGAGCGCACGCACGCACGCTCGTACTGCACAACATGCTAATGAACTTGCACGGATCCACCTCGGGCATGCCATGGGCTCACTCGCACGCTCTGGGGCCACGAGTCCACCGGCAAGCGATCGCACAAGCTTCTTTTAGCTTCTTTGACACAGTGCTGCGCATGCTGACGTTGCCCTGCGGACGACGACTTATGTTGCGTCGTCGAGGTCGATGTCCAAGGGTGCGCTCGCCGTTACGCCCTAATCACAGAGCACACGTGATCACTTGTGAATATTGAAATAGTTTCGATAACCCATTATGATACAGTGACCGCATAAGATAGCGCACCACGTGCGATAAGCGCCCGAAGGAGGCGACAGAATTGTGGCTCTCCTGCGTTACCGAGGCCACAGGGTGGCACAAGAATTGGGAGATGGGTAGATAGAAAGCTGAAGGTCGTAGATATGTAGGGTGGTAGTATCAGCGTGATTGCTTGGGGAGGTATAGTGATAGGAAGTGCGCAGAGCCTGTTTTTGGGGGCAAAATGATGGCAGACCTATGGAATCATACCATTGCATCGGGCTAGGGCGGAATTGACATATAATACACTAGGAATGGTAGGCTACATATCACATGAGTATAATGGTCTTCCGCTAATAAGCACGATAGGGAGAGCCGTGGTATTCAGACGCTCAGAATGTGCTTCAAGTACCCTGATGACAGAGTTGCATATCGCTCAGCCACATCACAACGTGCTACCATCAATATCACTGTATGTGAAGTACGTAGAAACCTCTACTATCCCTCAAGGGGTTCTGCAACGCCAGGAATGATGGCACCTGCCTCTCCAGCAACAGTGATCTATGTATTCCACAAACTTCAGGCATTGTTGAGACTGACATCTATCATATGTCCTCCAATTTTCGTAAGATTCTGTGGAGCTGAACGCGAGCTATGGGGATGCCATGTTCCGAGCACCTACATGAAAGGGGTTTTGCAAAACCCATAAGCGCCTGAAAGAAACGGCTTCCCTAGGATGTCTACCCATCCTCGGAGCTATCGGGGGTGATTTTTGTATTCAAAATACACCCAGACATTCATCCAGAAAGATATTTGAGCTTTCACAGCGAGAGACAAAGAGAGAACTGTATATCAAGTTGGGCGTCAACTCGCTTAGAGGTGTAACTAAATGTCTCCTGCTCGCAAAGGCGTCCTCCGGCTCATTTGGCTCCAAAAAGTTGCCAGATGATATCAAAATGGGTGTAGTATTATGTGTTTGAAATATCAGAGCGATGCATGAGGAGGGGAGGGAGAGCTTGGGGTTTTGCAAAACTCGCAGATTTTGCAAAACCCCTTGAGGGATAGTATGCATATCTGCTAAATAGATCTCTCCTTACTCAAGTCTGTTTGCAATGTGAGGGAAGGTTCCAATCGCTCATTTTAGCGCTGATTGTATTGTTGGGTTCCCACCCTTCTCGGTCAGTGCCATGTTGACCCAAGCTTATAGATGCCTATGCATTTTGTACAGGGGTATGTATTGTGTATGATCGCGAAATTCTGTCTCAACTGAATGGAAGGTCATTTTTCTGCTATTTTACTATGATATTCCTCCAAAAAACAGACTCTGCGCACTTCCTATCACTATACCTCCCCAAGCAATCACGCTGATACTACCACCCTACATATCTACGACCTTCAGCTTTCTATCTACCCATCTCCCAATTCTTGTGCCACCCTGTGGCCTCGGTAACGCAGGAGAGCCGCAATTCTGTCGCCCCCTTCGGGCGCTTATCGCACGTGGTGCGCTATTTTATGCGGTCACTGTAGTTTTCCAATCGTCCAGGCACCTCCAGAACCGGAGTCAGTACAGTCCTCTAGCCTTCATGCATTCCCCCTCTCCAGATCTCGCATTTCCTCAAAGTCGCGACGACGGCTCTGCTTCTTTCTCATTCTAGGCTGACGACGATATCTATTGCTCTCCATCTGGAATGACTACGGCAAAAGCTAAGAGGTCCGCAGCTCGACCACCACCTGCTCGGGTGACCCGACCGGCGACTCCTCCAGCCCCTGCACCTGCGGCACCGAGCACGAACGGCAAGAAGAACAAAAAGAAGAAGAAAGGCAAAGGGAAGGGCGTCGAACGCAACGCACAGGTGCCTGGATCGTACGACGCAGATGAGTACGAGGACGAAGAAGACGAGGACGACGAGACGGCGCTCCCGCCTCTCGAGCCAATGTCCCCTGCACACTCGCATCCGCACACACACTCGCACCTGCACGCACACCGGACGGTGAGCCAGCGGACGGGGCTGTCGCCGGAGTTAGCATCGGTGCACGTGTCGACGACGGCGTCCTTGTCGGCGTCGCTCGCGGCGCACCTGAAACCGACGACAGCGGCGGAGGCGGAGCTGCTCGCCACGGCGGATCATCTCGCGCGGAGCATGGAGGGGGCGGAGGGGGGGCTGGTGAACGACGAGTACTGGGCATCCTTCCCGGATCACCTGCGCAACTTTGTACGGCACACTTACTCTCAGTTGAGCTCGGCTGGTAACGCGGACTCTGCACTGAAGACGCAGGCGATGTACGCAATCGCACAGCAGATGCACTCAGGCGCGAACAGGGACGGCGGCGGAGGGCGGTACCCGCCGGGCGCATACCCTGGGATGCCCTTCGACCCTGCCATCTTTGCGGATCCACAGTTTGCGCTGGCGATGGAGCAGGCGGCGGCTGCGAACGGCGCGCTGCAGGCGGACGGGGGCACGCTGGGGGCGGCGAACGTTGTGCTGTATCCGGAGGAGCAGGAGTACGGGGAGGATGAGTACTACAGCGAGGACGATGTGGACGACCTCGACGACGAGCTCGGCGGGGAGCGGCGGTCGCAGGCGGCGGCGCATTTCACACTCTCGTTCGAGGACCCGCTCGGCCGCCCGCCGGCGGGGCTCACGGCGGCCGCGGCGGAGGACGGGTACGGAGGGCCGAAGAAGAAGAACAGGAAGAAGAAGAAAAAGGGAGAGGAGCGGGCGTCTGCCGGGGACCCGGCCGGGGAGCGGCCGGAGTCAGAGGACGAAGGCGGGGCGGTGACAAATGGCGGGCGGCCAGTCTCTGCTACGAACCGTATGCCCGCCGCACGCCCTCCGCCCGCCGCAGCCACAAACCCGCCCCCGTCGTCTCGCGCGGCGGGCAAGAAGCCCATGGCATACACTCCTGCTCCCGCGCAGGACCCCCCGCCCCCGTCCCGTCGCGCCGCCTCCAAGGCGCCGATCTCCTCGCACCAGTACGGCCACAATCACACCCATCACCATCCATCGCCTCCATCCTCCAACGCCTCCGCCCCACACAAGCCCAGACCGCCAGCCTCTGGCCAGCAGCCGCAGAAAAACTCCAAGATATGGTCCACGAGCACCACCGAGGAGCGCGAGCGTATCAAAGAGTTTTGGCTCGGTCTGGGTGAGGAGGAGCGCCGGAACCTCGTCAAAATTGAGAAGGAGGCCGTCCTGAAGAAGATGAAGGAGCAGCAGAAACACAGCTGTAGCTGTGCGGTGTGCGGGCGCAAACGGTACGTCGTGTTCTTTCTTCCGTCTCCGAAAATTTTTCCTGAGATTGCCCTTCCCTCGTCGTGTCTATCGCCCATTCATTGGAACCTGCAATATTCGGTCGTGTGCCGCCCGGATCGCGCAACGCAAACAAGGAATGCTATTGAGGAGGAGCTCGAGGTACTGTACGATGCTTATTACGAGGAGCTAGAACAGTACGCGAACTACCAGCAGCGATACATCTCCTCCGGCGGGACGCTGCCTCCACCTCAAGGGCCGGGTCCGTTTCCGGGCAGCGTCGAGCTGGACAAGAACGGCGCCGTCATCAGCCCTCAGCCTCCAGACGCCCACCGCGGCAAGGCCCTCATAGCCAACGGGCGCAAGCCCGTCAAGCACGCGGAGAGCGAGTTTGAGGACGACGGGGACGATGACTATCCGGATGAAGATGGGTACGAGGATGAGGAAGAGGACGAAGAGGAAGAGGAGGACGAGGAGGATGAGGAGGACGACGCGGACCCCGAGGACGAGGATGAGGTGAAGCAAGACCGGCGGCCCACGGCGCCTCGCCGGCGAGCCGTCAATGGTACCAAGGTCAACGGACGCGACGGTCTCGGTAACTTTGGGAACAACCTCACCGTGACCGGCAAGTATCGTCATTCGCGAACCACTACAGCGTATGTATATTAACTCCTCGGAAGTAGGGAACATCTTGACGGTCGCCGATGATCTCCTCAAGAATGACGGACAGAAGTTCTTGGAGATGATGGAGCAGCTTGCCGAACGTCGGATGCAGCGGGAAGAGGAGGCGGCAGTCGATATTGAGGAGGACAGCGAGGACGAGGACGACGAGGGCGATGAGGACGATGAGGAAGACGATGAGGATGATGAAGACGATGAGGAGGACGAGGAGGTATGCACCTTCCCTTCTGTCGTCCCTCAAGATCGATTTACATCGGCATCTCGTTGTAGATCATGACGGAGGAGCAGAAGATGGAAGAGGGGAAACGAATGTTCTCCATCTTTGCGGCACGCATGTTCGAGCAGCGCGTGCTCCAGGCGTACCGCGAGAAGGTCGCGCAGGAGCGTCAGCTCCAGCTTCTCCGCGAGCTCGAGGATGAGGACAAGCTCAGCAAGGAGCGCGAGGCCAGAAAGCAGTCGCAGAACCAGAAGAAGAAGGACAAGAAGCGGTTAGTGTCTATGTCGAGCTTGTCGCGTGCCATCATCTGATGTCGTGTGCAGACAACAGAAGCTAGCCAAAGAGGAAGAGCGTGCTGCCAAAGCCGCTGAGAAGGCCGCTGAGGAGGCTGCTCAACGCGCCAAGCAGGCCGCTCTCGAAGAGGAGCAACGCAAACGTCGTGAGGAGGAGCGTGCCAAGCGTGAAGCTCAACGCAAGGCGCAAGAAGAGGAGAGGGCGCGCAAGGAGGAGGAGCGTCGAAAGCGCCTTGCAGAGGAGCGAGAACGCGAAGCCGAACGCGAACGGAAGAAGCGCGAACGCGAGGAGAAGGCCAAGGCTGAGCGCAGGGAGCGGGAGGAGCGAGAACGCAAAGCCCGTGAAGAGCGTGAGGCCAAGCTCGCTGCTGAGCGTGCTGCAGAGAAGGCGCGACGCGAGCAGCAGGAGAAGGAAGAGCGGGAACGCCGCCTTGCTAAGGAGAAGGAGGAGAAGGAGAAGGCTGAGCGGGAGAAGGCCGAGAAGGAGAAGGCTGAAAGGGAGGCTCGCGAGCGCGCTATCCAGCAGCAGCAGCAGCAACGTGCAGCGGCGGCCAGGAACAACGCGCGTGCACCTACCTCACCGCGGAACGCCGTTCCCTCAGGCTCTCAGCCATCTCCCAGCCGTCCTACCTCGCAGAAGAAGATCCTTAACAAGCCTCAGCAACCTCCTGCCCCCACGCCTCCTGTCCTCCAACCTCTCCGTCCTCAGCCGCCCCAGCCCCGCGCGCCTATGGTCGGTGCGTCGCAGCCTACTACGCCCATTGCTCCTCAGATGCCACCGCATATACCTCCTTTGACGCCAGTCTTCCCTCCGTCCGTCGGCGGCGTAGGAGTCATTCCTCCGGCGCTGTCTCCGAGGGTACCATTCACTCCAGGGCCGTTTGTAGGTGGTGTATCCATGGTCCCCGGGCCGTCCATGCCTCCAGGTCCTCCACCGCCACTAGCTCCTTCAGCCGTCCCACGTGGCTTTGGAAACGGGAATCCGTTCGACAATGGCTTCGGACGTGGATTGACACCTGCGCCAATCGCCCCTCCGAACCGTGCAGTGCAGAACCCCCTCGCTTCTCCCACCCAGCTTAACCTTGCTCCTGGTCACCCCAATGGCCGCACTCCCGGACCTGACCCTGGTCCTATCACCCGTCCTACCATCGCTCCCATCGCACGACCAACAGGCGATGCGTCGGGCTCAGGCTCAACATCGCCCACTCGGCGATCTCCCAGCCCGAAGGGTGTCCTCGGCTCGGCTGCGCTGCTTGCGGATGACGACGAGGTGCTGAGCACTCCTGCTACTCGTCGGGCTGTGCCTGCCGGAGCGGTTGGCCAAGGCTGGGGCCCAGCGACGTCGACGAGCCCTCGAGGATCAGTGTCATCACCATGGGGGCCGCCTGGTGCACATTCCGGATTCCCTTCCCGTGCACCCGCACCTGGACCTCCTGGGCCAATCGGAACGAACCTATGGGGTTCGCCGCCGAATCCTGACTGGCATCCGACTCCCGGCTTCTTCGGAGCACCTTTTGCTCCCCATAACCCTTCCACTGCACCCCACACCGGTAGCTGAATGTTGAACAGTAGGCCTCCTCCCCACCACGCACGTACGAGCATCCCACCGTCTTTATTTGCATCTTGACATTCGTTCTCACGATCTCCCAATGTTCAATACTGCAATGTCTCTTATTCTGACCTTAGCATGTCATGTCTCGCTGACAAGATCCAATCAATAATAGTGAAATCCAAGCAGATCGCGTGCGGTGTCCATAAATTGATGAGTGCGTAAGTTACAACAGCTTACTCGACGCGGCGGGCGCGACTCTACTACGAATGAATTTGATAATGTACAGTGGGAATGCACTGATAGCCACAATAACCGCCACCTTCCAAGCAAACCGGGACGACAAGACGAAGGTTAGATCTGCAAGGTGGTCAGTATACTTGCAGCGCGTGTATAGGCAATAGGGGGCTCACCGAAATATTCAGGTAGGAATGTCATGCTAATAGCGTATATGAAGAGTGTTACGATCTCTGAGACCACCATATAGATATGCCTATAATTAGGTAAGCTTCGGAGTTACACAGTGGAGGGTAGGAGACATACCATGTCGTGATTTCTAGTGCGACCATTATGAGCTCGTTGAGAATCAGAGCAGTGAATGAGATGGAAACAATGTTGAGGAATTCGTTCTCGAAGAGGACGAGGGACATGATCATGATCGCAGCACCTGTGATTTCGTATCAGCGTTGCGCAGCTCGCCATTGTTTCCTCGAATTCTTACCTTGATAGACACTGATCATGAGCCAGATGAAGAACGTTTTGTACGACAAGACGCGGCCCTTAGTAAGCTCCTTGTACAACTCAGGGTACAGTAGCGCGAGATCTTCGTTGACGTCTCGATCGAGCACAAGCGAGAATACAGGCGCCATCGTGTACGCAGTCGCGTATCCGACCATGAGCCAGCCTTGGTACAACGCGATCGGAGCGAAGTAGAAGATGGAAGAGAAGACGGCTTGCATGACCGAGATGATGAGACCACGGTGGATGACGAATTGCGCGAGCTTCGCCGAGCGACGGTAGGAATTGCGGCCATGCCAGAGCAGAAGCTTGGTGAGATAACTGAACTGCGTGACCGAAAAGTCGGCAGCGAGCGAGGCTTGCTTCCCTTCCTTCCCCACGATACCGACACCTACGACACCGTGAACACATGTGACAGGAGAGTCAATAGAACTACTTGCCAACATCGGCCGCCTGGATCATGCTGACGTCGTTACCACCATCGCCAATACAGCAGACACGCTTCTTGGTATGTTTCCGGATGAGCCGGGCCACGTCCGCCTTCTGCGTTGGAGAGCATCGGCAGGCGACGACTGCGGAAAGCTTGGTCGCGATCTCGACGAATTCATTCTTGAACATGTTGAGGCACAGTTGAAGCGACTCGCCGTCGATGACGAGACAGCAATCGAGCTTTTGTTGGAGGAACTCAAGTTGGTCGCGCACTTGGTCGGATGTCTTGACTACGCGCGAGGATATTAGCATACACACGCAAAGGTCGGAGTCTGAAACACTCACGCTTCGCCACCTGGTGAATGTACTGGTTACGCGCCACAAGCTTTGTCGAGATCGCAATGCAGGTCGCGGTCTCGATTTTGTCACCAGTCAACATCCAGATCTTGATCCCGGCGTTCCTCAGCAGCTCCAGCGTCGACTTAACCTCGTCTTGCAATTTGTCCTCGACACCTGTCAAGCCCAGCAGCTCAAGATCGTGCTCAAGCAGCTCCGCAACAATGGCAGCCATAGCCTCGTTCCGGCCCTCGAGCTTGATGCTCGCCAAATGGTGCTGCTCCTTGAAATGGTTGTATGACTGGTCACTCAGCCTCCGGCGGGCCATGACGAGTGTCCGCAGGCCTTCCCGCGCCATGTTCGCACACTCCTCCTCGAGCCAGTCGTTGCGCTGCACGATCTTAGTCATGACGACGTCGGCGCCCTTTTGAAGGAACGTGATGTCCCCTGTCTGCGCGTCGCGGACGATGATGCCCATGCGCTTCGACTCGGATGTGAACGGGAAGATGTCGAGCACGTCGAAGGAGATGCGCGCGCCGGTCGGCGTCTGGAGCTCGATGCGGGTGCGGTCTCGGAAGGTCAGGCGGAGGCCGACAGATTCCGTCCATTTGACAATGGCAACCTCATCAGGAGAAGACGCCTGGTAGGTGACGGTGCCGTCGTCATTGTACACCGGAGTAACCTGGAGGAGCAATGATTCAGCACACGGTCGCTAGATCACGGGGGACACGTCTTTACGTTGTGGCAGAGCGCCAAACTCAGGACCACGTCATGCACACGTGAGGACATGTCTCGACGACCCCTAGTGGCTAATTGGACGCCGGTCTGCAAGGAAGGGTGTCGGCCATGGCCTGAGACGATGCCCTGATGAGTGCTGATACGAACGAGAACTATAACGCTCCACTAAGCTCACCATGTTCATCAGCTGAACCGAAAGCCACTGCCAGCTGGTGAGCAATTTCGTCCATGGAGTCGTATCCATAGGACACAGTGCCCATATGCAACTTCTTCATCTCCATCTCTATCGTAGAGCAAGTCAACTACTTGTGCGCACATGTGCAGGGCGAACATACCGTTTTGCGTCAGCGTGCCAGTTTTATCGCTAAGTAGATACTCTATCCTTCCCAGTTCCTCTGGAAGCGTGCTCGTTCGCACGATAGTGTTGGGTATCTCGTTGTCAGTCATGATCTGTTGCGCATATACCGTCTTGCCCATATCCAAGTTGACGCGCAGACTGTCGGGAACGGCATTAGTTTGCACTTGCATGATGTCAGGAGTATTACGTACCTGATGGGTATGATGGAAGAGAAAAGAATGAGAAAGCGGAAAACATAGATGTACCATGGGCCTCTGAAGCCATTGAGTGCAACGAGGACGAGAGAGAGTGCGAAGGTCACGGCACAAAGGATCTACGGGGCGTGAGGCACGGATTATAGATTCGCATGGAATGGCTGACCTTGGCAAGTCTGTTGATCTCGACGTCAAGGAGACCAACCTTCGTCTCTGGATGGCTCGTGTTCATAACAGCACGAGTCTCGGAGCCAGTATAGATGACGAAGCCGACAGCAGACCCGGCAGCAAGCACAGTGTTAGACCAAAGCATGTTCTCCGCAGTCAAGGGCTCCACAGTCGGGACCTGAACCATGGGGACATCGTCCTCGAGCAAAGATGGAGGGGAATTGATCGTAAACGTCCCGATGAACGTATGAATATCCTTGATCGGCGCGTCCGCTGCGAACGGATGAGTCCGTTGGCTAGTGATGCGCTCGGGGACAATGCGTACCGTATATCTCTGCGTCCACCGTCAGCAGTTCCCTGTCGCTGCTGAGCTTCTGACATGCAGGTACCGCCACACGCAGCTTCCAGTCCGTCTCACCATCCAGCTGGTCTGTACGGATGAAACAAGTACCAGAGCTGTCCGAGGTCCGCAAGAGCACAAGATCAGCAGGTACCCGTTGGTTCTTCTCTAGCACGACAAGGTCTCCGACGCGCAGGCTAGAGGACGGCACCGAACGGGTATAGGGAATACCCTCCGGAGACGACTCAGAATATTCCGAGGGATCAAGCACAAGGTACTTCTGCGAGTTCGCTTCCCGGTCGCGCTGATTACGCTTGTAGTCATCATACGCCTCCTTTCCCATGGTCACGGTGAGCACGAATGCGAGAGGAGCTATGTAGGTGACAATGAAACCTGCACTTCACAATTTATCACTTACTCAAGAGTGCAGGACGTGCAAGACGCACCAATCTTGAGAGCTGGGATGAACTGCGATAATGCAACCAGAAGGAAGTAGAGGTTGAAGAAGAACTTGAACTGTTCATAGAAGACGAGCGGGAGGAATGTGAAGACGTTGAACTTCTGATTGCGGACCACATTTGGCGGGTATTTGCCCTGCAGCTTCTCTGGAGGTCTGAACGGTATTATTCTTGACTTGTCGCTGGACTTGCCTCTCCGCGATGATGTCGACCGCTAGGGTTTCAGATGATCAGTAGCGAATGGTTGTGAAACACGGGCGCAGGAGCAGGGAACATCCAGATGCCCCAAAAGCTATAGCGCAATGCGAGACGTACGCTCTAACAGTACATACCTGTGAGGTCTCCCGTATCTGCTCCTCAGGCTCATCATTTCGAAACCCGCCATCCTCGTGCGACGCGTCTCCAAGGAGAGTCTCCTCTTCCTCCGGGTCGTCCGCATACCTCTCGCGCCGCTGGCCCTTCCTGCTCACAGATCCAGAGGAAGCGACTGCCGCGCGCACAACCCCGTGCATGGTGCGTCCGCTGCTATTGTCGGGTTCGAGACCGTTGGTACCGTTGCCGTGAACCTCGTCGCCGGGTTCGCCGTTATGGAGGGGAGTATAGCCTGCCCTAGACTTTCTGGTTCGTCCGAAGGTATGCAGAGGGATTTCGGACATGTACCCCGGGCAATACCAGATACAAGTACGTCGTCAATTCACCGAAGACCAGTAGTAGATATGGGTCCAGAGCATCAAGCCGAGAAGGTAGTAGAGCTGCGTGCCGGCACTTGGAGCGACGCCTCACACGCAGCTGAGCTACACTTGACTGAGCGGGGGACAGCGGAGTTTGCGGAGATCGTAAAGGGAGCCCTGGTATTACAGCGCCTTGCATAAGTCCGTGAACGCGCGGGATTTTTTCTCTCCGGCGTCTAACCTACCCGACCTGCCTAAACAGGCCACATCATGGTCACAGGCCCAGACACGACGGGCAGCGCTCGGGATCCCTTCGCGTGAAACGGAGGTTTGTTTTCGGGAAAGTCGTAACTTGTCCCTTTGCCGACGCGTGCCAAAGGATGCTGAAGGGTCGGCAATGGGAAAGTTGTACTTGCTCAGAGGTTCTAAAGCCCTTTGACAAAGAACGATTCGAGGCGGTGCCCGTAGTGAGAGCTCCCCTGCGGCTGAGCCCGCTCGCTGGGCCACTGGCATTTCCAAGAGTGAGTATGCCATGGGCCCAGTAAACTTGCGCATAAGTACTTGTAGTCATACAGTGTGCACAGTGCACAGAGATAGTTTGCATGAGGGCAACAGTCACTGCATGAGATCATATCAAAACGGGCCCTTGCCAATGAATACATGACTTGCGATGCTGTGGGTGG